CACTCCAATGAAACTCCAACCAATTTCAATGATAAATATAACAGAACTGGAGGCAACAGTGAAATAATGAAGATTAAAGTTAAACTAAAGAAGACACTTTATCGGTGTTAAGAGCAAAATAAAGTTATGGTTAAATTAGATTTAATATTGTAAGAACATAATAATATAAATCTATGACCATATGTATACGCAAGTTTAGATGAAGCATTTATCACTTGTTAAACATCTTCAACCTCAATAACTCATTTGCGTCATACGATAGCCGTACCAAACCACACAGCACATTCTCGGCTCAGTTAGAGCTCTATGTTAGGTCTCCCATGCTTTGAACTGTTACCATAGTGATATTAAGGCGACTTTTTAAACATGCCGCAAGGGCAGTCAAATGTCCAACTCATGAAAAGTGCAGTGTTGCCATCATACCACCAAAACAAACAATTATCGGTAAACAAATACAGTGCTGATTTCTCCTCCGAGTCCTATGAAGACGCAAATAATTGCTCGGTAAATGTGATTAAGTTGACAATTTACCACAACCAGCTCACTCCGAAAGAGTTCGAATATATAATGTCACTTACCTCAGTTGAATATCTAAATCACCTACGTTGCAATTTTCCTCCACAATTAACGTCACTTAGCACCGACGGAGCTGCTTGTGTTAAGGTGAATAATATTTAATCACTATTTATCCCAAGGCGCACAAGTGTGACATTAGCAGTCCAATATTTGAGTTATGTCCATCTGAACTTGTGTTCCAAAACTATGTCGAAAACCACACATATGAACTACCATTGATACTGCGTAACGTTGATTCGGTTAGTTATCTATTTTATTTATTTGGCATTGGGACCACAATAGATGATGCACAGTGTGCATTTGGTGCACGAAACCAATCCATATTTTCAAATAAAATACTTAAGCTCTATTGGACATAAGATTGCAGCAGGACTATCACTACACTGTCTGGTGTCATTTACACCCGACTCACTTCGCGATTACCAGCATGAACTGCTGTGCATTACTGATCGTGAAACCTATAAGATTCCAATTTACTGCCTCGGTCCTCGAGCTATTTTAGACTTTCCTGATGTAATTGATTTTGGAAGCTGTACAATAAAATACAACACTTCAAAATTTATCATGATAAGAAACGTTGGAAAGACTGCGTCCAGTGTCACACTGCATACCGCACCGTGAGCTCATAATAAATTTTATTTGTCAGTCCATTCAAAGCAGAAAATCCAGCATTTTCTATCGAACCACTTGGCTGCTGTACACTTGAATTCGTTTTTTATCCGGAGCTTTGCGGAACTTACGCTGAAAACCTTTATGTACGACTGGATACAGGTGCGGCAATTAATTTTGTTTACAGTTCTTCAGGTGAAACACTCTTTGTTAAGCTAAAAGGTGTGGGACAACTCGCTGCCGTGCAATTGGAAGCAGACGTTTTAAACCTAGGATCTACTTACATTGGTCAATCTGCTACCAAAAACTGTATAATCTATAACAAATCTGATGTGTGTATCAGATACACATGGAGTCCTTTAAAAGATAATATTGAAGAGGAGAACGAAAAGCACAAGCTCGCTACCTGGGTTACAGTTCCTTCCAAACAGAGGCATTCCATCACAAAAGGAAAACTAATCAGTTGGTTTGAACATTTATCATCTGAAAAACTGGTAAGCGTTTGCGTACTTTTCAAAAGAAATAAAATAATCTTTTTACGTGTGGTAAACTTGTAGCAACATTATAAACATAATTTGTATGCCTGTATCTATATACTTGGTTGTTTCTTTCCACTGAGGTCTTCCTAGTGAAGAAAAGTGACTAGATTTCGTATTTATCGAGATATGCTCGCCGGATATTTGAACATTGTCAAGTATAATGCACTATGACCTTCAAATGCTTAGATTGCGGTAAAGAGTTTCGTTCTGTTCAAAAGCCGCCGATTGCTTCCTTATGATGGATGGCCGCACATCGCCTGCTGTAATGTCGATACACTGATGAACCAAAGTCTGCAGCGGTACACCTCCACGGTTGTCCACCGCTTTTGTAAATCTCGTCGAGCCATGCTAATAGTGACAAGTCTCGCGGTCATTCTATCACTGCCCGGTCTACCTTGCGTTCCGGCTCAACCTGTGTTTTGTACATCGAAAAGACCTCATGCCACACTTTTACTTCTACCCGCGTCTCTCCCAACTGCCCCTAGGGAAAACGGAGCCGAATCTCATCTAGTTCCTCCCCGGAACTATTGATGACGGTTGAACAGGGTATGTAGCGCCCAAAAAGATAACGGCTATCTTTCATGTACAATTTAATTGTTGACGAATTGTACATTATTCTTTCTTGTTTTAGTCTTCCTTACAACTGGCTCGACATTCGACCGCCTTGTAAGTACCTGCGCTAATGTGTATCTCGTGTCTTTCTTCATCCGTCCTCGTCTTCTTGTAGCCCATCGAATGCAGTCCGCTGTGTCCGACTCTAATTCCCTTCTGATATCCGCGCTCACTTTCGCGCACCGTCTCGGACTAGTATTTACTAGTCCTACAAGTAGCCCATGTGAGACGAAAGCATATGCCGCCGTAGTCAGTCAAAGCGCTATGTCAGCAAGGTGACTGAGTACATCTTGGCACCAAGTCCAAGTGAAAAAGAATCACAAACCCAAGACACAATTTAACTCTTCAAATTAAAAACTAAAGCTGGTTTTTGACAGGATGAGTCAACTGGAGGACTTAATCAAGGCACACCCACAACCACAAAGCACTCCTGTTTCCGAGGGAAGCAGAGATTCTCCTCTTGAACGGTGTCTGCTCATTGAGAAGGCTCCCGAATCTAACAAGGAAACGCCGATCTAGAGGATAATGGATAACCAGGCCTTCCTAAAACAGATGATTTCCTCACTGTTCTACGGTTAACAGGGGATCAATGTCGTCTCTCTCTTTTGCCTTGACCGGATGCAGGAGGATAGTTTCAAGTTGCATCCAATGAACATCGTTTATCAAAATTAAGATAAATGTCACCATAGCATCTGGCGGACCTCGCGGCTTAAGAGGAAAACATCACATGTCTTGATGGATCTCTGCCATGAAGTCCGAATGAGAAGGAAGAAAGCCCGTAATGAAATCAACATCATCATCAGCACACTTTAGCTGAGGGTGAGAAACTCTTCAGTTACTGTGCCGTAATACAAAAATGATGAGACTAGAAAGTTACCCTACAAAAAATATACTGTTAAATATAATATTATGCGTCGATGAAATGCCGGCCCGCCGAGCCAATGGTGAAGCTAATCTTCGTAGTGTAGATTTTCGTGTGGTTAAATTGATTCAGAGAGCTCGATGGCGGCTTGTCTTTGTCGCACCCGTATTCTAGGATCTAAGATTGGTTTGCGTGTGATGTTCATCAAGGCGTGAATTCCGGGAAATAAACAGGAGGAAATTCGTCTTCTAAGTACAGTGTCAATCTCAGCTGAGCTTTTGCTGAGACGCCGCTATGCCCTGATATTCTAGCTTCTGAAATACGCTTTCCTGACTAGCAGTTTTCTTTAGATCTTGAGGTGGAGTCCTACTCTACTGAAAGTCTCTGTTGACAATTCATATCGCAGAGGCTGCCTGTGAGACAGTCTGTGTTATGGTTAGTACAATCCTAACTAACCCAACCACCATGATCAAAGAACAATCACTATCGCTGTATGTATTGTGCACTCCGCCATGGCCAGAGCAGCGTTTGCATTTGGCATCATGGGCTGACGCAGTACGGTTGTCCGACTTCACGCCTGTAGCCCAACTTGATCAAATACATAGGTTCTTGAAATATGCTCATTCTTTTAACAGCGGGTTGCAACAGTTGGTGCATCGGAGATCATTTTTATCATGTCCAGGACGGACAGTATTCACTCATGTTTTGTGTTGTCTACGGACTTCCAATGGCCTCCAAATCCCGATTGCTGGACTCGCTTAATATGCATGGCAGAGGCAATGATTGCTTAATAATGGGAAACTTCGATGCCCCCAGCGTCAGCTGGGTTACTTCACAGTGGTATTACCCCAGAGACCTCAGATGCAGTTATACTAGAGCTAGAGATTCTCCGGCCACTTGAGTCAAGTGACTAATGTGTGCTTTCCTTTTTATGGACAAGACGACCCACTTTTCACAACCGCAGCATAACTCGCCGGAACTATTGGTGTACCAATTCACTCCGCCTACACATGGCTGCAGTGTTATGGACTGGTGAACTCTACAGAAGTTGGATCTCGATACCGTTTGGAACCACTTTGGCTTAAAAGTGTCAAACTTGCTTGGCTAAACTATTGACAGTGATCTCAATTCGCAGTGGGCGCATATCAAAAATGCGTTAGTTTCCGCCAGTATCGACACTTGTGGAGTTACCCGTCACCCACCGAAACACTGGATTTCCGCCGACTCCTAGTAGCTGATGGACAGACGCCGCTTGATCCCATCTGATTCCAGACACAGTGAGGAACGCCAATACCTTGGTCGAGAGTTGCGCAGGAGTCTGCAAATGGACCGCGAAACTTGGTGGTGTGAACGTGCTAGGGAGATGGAGCTTGCTAGTCTCTGTGGCAATACCAGGAAACTCTTCCATCTCATTCGAGTCACCGAAGGTATTCGATCTGGTATAAGTGAAACAATATGGGAAGAGGATGGCACCTTAATCACCAATCTTCAACGAAGGTTGGAGCGATGGGCAGAACATTTTGACTCGCTGCTTTGTTGGCCCCCAGCTCCATCTGCTACCTCTGGCACTCGCGCTGGGTCGAGTGGTCTACCTCCATAGATCCTCCCTCTTCCCAGGAATTCGAGCAGGAGCTCCGGCACATGAAGCGTTATAAATCCCCTGACCCTGGTGGTCTTCCTCCGGCTCTATTTAAAGATGGTGGCGCATCGCTGGTTCGAGAACTCACCGCATTGTTTTCGAAAATTTGGTCGAAAGAGAAAGTTCCATCATCTTGGGATGAATCGATAGTCATCCCCATCTTCAAAAAGGGCCTGCGCACAATCTGCTTCAACTACAGAGGAATAAGCTTAGTCCCCGTCGTTTGCAAGCTGCTGGTGTCCATCATACTTCGCAGGCTATCCCCAACACGCGAATCGTTGCAACGAGAAGAACAAGCTGGGGTTTCGCCCTGGTCGCTGCTACATCGATCAAATCTTCACACTTCGCCAGATCCTCGAGCTCCGCCATGTGTATCAGAGGCCAGCGATTGCTGTGTTCCTGGATATCCGTGCAGCCGATTGTACAGTACGGTGGCATTGCCTTCTGAGGAACGCTGGCGTTGAGCTCCTCCCAGGTAGTCGAGTTGTTGATTTGGACTATGCTGATGATATCGTCTTGCTGGGTGACTATCCACAGGTCGTCCAACTTGCATTAAACCGCTTGGCGATTGAAGCATCAAAGTACGGTATGTACTTTTCCCCATCCAAATGCAAGGCTCTCCTTCAAGTGTAGCGCCTTGACGAATGCTACACAAGAAAACCGTAGCCCAGTAAGACAGAAGACGGCAAGATATAAAGAATGTCTTGAGAAAATAGCTATGTACAATAGCTATGTGAATATAGCTTGAGGACAATGGGAGAGAGTGGTGAAGCAATGAGTAACACCACGTAGGAACGCAACAGCCGGCAACGCGCGGACAAGATGGCGAACACGGTTCAAAATTGCAGTCCAGTATATATAGGCTTGGGATGGGTGCAAAGTAAAACAAAATGTGCACAAGTCTGAATGTGATGTTTGATGGGGTAAAATGTCATGGTCACTACACAGGCCTCCCCCTAGAAGGCCGAGGGACGAGGACTTCGATCGCTGTTGGCTTGCAAATGTATAAAGGCAGAATCACAGGAGTTCGGTTGTATTTGGATTATTTAATCTTCTTGTGGATTGGAATGCATCATCGGTGGGCCGTCCCAGCGGGCACACCGGACTACAAAAAACTGGATAATCCAGAAAAAGGGCCGGTAGGACCTTTCACCGCTGCTGAAAGACGGTGCGCTTGGGAGAGGTCACTCCCCCCACCGCATTCCAATCCACTGCCACAACGAAGCTGAAATCCTGTTCGTACTGGCGAGCCGTGGGGGGGCCAAAAACAACGAGCCAGGCACACGAGCAGCCAAAGCCAGGAAGGCGAGCCAGACAAACGACCAAGGCGAGCCAAATTGAGCCAAGCAGACCACGATCCAAAGGCCAACGTGGGCGGGCGAGACGACAAAGCGTTGGGGGTAGACCAAAGCATCCAAACGACCAAAACAATTGAGAAACAGCCAACCATTGAACGGACGGACCCAAACGTGCCAGCCTCATGACTTTACCTGATAGATGGGGAAAAAAACTCGGGGAGACAGATTCAGATATTTACGGAAAAGCATAATACAAACAACGAGAGAAAATGAAAAAGATTCATGAGGTGTGGATGAATTCGACAAAATCGGAGAAACGAACAGGTTTACGAACTCTTCTACCGTGACTGGTATTAGTTTGAGGCGAATCGGGTGACTGGGATTGTGGTGGAGCTGTA